CAAATAAAATTCTTCCGCCACCAATCATATTCTAGCTCACTACCTCCAGTTTTATTCTAACTGAGGGACGTACACTCACTGTACAAAGTCCACTTAGGCTTGCCAAAATATCCGTTACATCTACTGTTTACCGTGTAATTTGACTTCGTGTGGTATTAAAAAGATACAATATACGTTTGTACAATTTCTATGAATTTCCATTGTAAATTTCAAATTCATTCTTTATGTACATTAAAGACTGGCTACTACATGTGCCGAGGAAATCAATCAAAGCGATATTTTTAAATTAAAGCAAACTAAGTCATGTGTTCTATTCTTTATTAAAAATGTATTTTAAGTAACATGACTTTAAAATTTAGTTTATTTCATGTAACAGATTATCTAAACTTTGGCTACAGAACAAAACATTTTTAACATTGATTATTTATTTGACATATTATCAATATTAAGATATCAATATTTCAACAATGCTAAAACTAAATGTTCGTGTCATTCTTTCTTCTTAGATAAAATGAGAAAAGAAATAATAACTTGGTAGATAATATTCACCAGAAACTAGGTAGGATTTTTTTCGGCGACTATCATTTTTCAATCATTTGTATATTATTATAAGATAATATTCAGCAGAAACTAGGTAGGATTTTTTTTCGGCGACTATCATTTTTCAACCATTTGTATATTGTTATAAAACACTTTGTAAAAATATTTTTCTAGACGTCACTTTAAATACTCTGTTTGTTTGCTTTGGTTTTGTTTGTTCTATTTTTTTCAGCTTTAATTGATATTTCTTTTCCGGCTCTGCAGTGATAGATACATATATAAAATTGTTCCCATCAGTTCTTCAGCCGCACTGATGGATTGGTCGGTCGGGGATGTAAAGTTGTCACTTTTCAAAATCGTCTACGCTCGCTATCTCGAATTAGTTGATTGTCATAGTATCTCAGTGGTTCAACTTTTATGTCATTTGGTCTTTGGTGGAGAGTTTTCTCATTGAATTGTCAATCATGACAAATCTTCTTATTTCTATATTGTAGTGTTCGTTGTTGGTTGTCTGTGTGTCTATTATTTTTCGGAGCAGAGGGTGTTGGTGGTTGAAATTTATCTGTTGTGCTGTCCAGTATTTTGGGGATATATGTTTTCCTTCAAGTTTTTTATGTATGATGCCAAACATGAATTGTTTCCCCTGTCTAATCACACTATAAGATCATTTTTTTGGCAATTTTTGAATTCTGGTCGTTTATACCCATAGTATTATCTTTTCCTGGAAATTATATTTTAAATGGCATACATATATTACCGTTAATTTTTTTATGGACCACTCGATTTGTTTAAGTGTTCATCATTTATCTGAAAACGTATAGTACTTTATACTTTGCATAGTTACTGTATGTTAAAAAAATGTATTAATATAAAACATCATTTAAATCATTTTAGCAGTGTGCCAACGAAAATCTGAGATTAAATATAGTACTTTATACTAACATATGAATTAGATTCAATACTAATTGATGAATTAAATCTTTACTCTTGACAATCTAAACATAAACTCGGTAAGTAGTCTTGTATAAACATATCCATTGAAAAGTAAGAAAGTGAACAGTTTAACACGTACATGTTTTTATTCACATTAGTTAAATACGTTTAATGTGATATAAATCGGTTGTTTACAGACCAAACTATTTACTTAAATTTATATAAATTTGACCGATTTAGAGGTGGCACAACCTTTTAATATATAATAATGTATGGGAATGGTTATTGAACTTTGTAAGTAATGCCTGTAATATAATTCGATTACTACGTTTTATTCTAAAATAGAGGATTATGTCCAGAGACACCGCTACCGTTTTCAGTATGTGCATGTTTATAAATGACATAGAATTTTATCCCCCTCTTTTACTGATTTATATTTATTATATTTGTCAGTTTACCATACAGTGGTAAATATTTCACTGCAAATTAATAGAAAAAAAAACAGGCTGTCAAATATTAAAACAAGAGTGCACACGCTGAAATGTCTCGCCTTCTTTACTAACCATTGATTTTATGTTGATAGTCCTAAATATAAAGCTTTACTACAAGTAACACATAAACTTAACATGATCCAAGAAAATGAGATCAAGGTCAGATAAACCAAACGAGAAATACATGTACACCTTACAATCATTCAATAAACCAAACATAGTTTACCTATTGCTTATAGTTTCTAAGACACAGTCTTAACCAAGAAAACTTAACATTGACCAATGAACCATGAAAATAAGGTCAAGGTCAGATGAACCATGCCAGACAGACATGTACACCTTACAATCAATTTATGCATTAAATATAATTGACCTATTGCTTATAGTATCTAAGAAACAAACTTAACCATGAAAACTTAACATTGACCAATGAACCATGAAAATGAGGTCAAGTTCAGATGATACCTGCCAGACAGACATATACACCTTACAATCCTTCCATACAACAAATACAGTTGATCTATTGCTTTTAGTTGAAGAAAAACAGACCAAAACACAAAAAATTAACACTGAGAAATGAACCGTGAAAATGAGGTCAAGGTCAAATAAAACCTGTGGGACTGACATGTTCATCATAAATTATTTCCATACACCAAATATAGCTGACCTATTGTATACAGTATTCGAAAAAAAAAGACCAAAACTCAAAACTTAACTTTGACCACTGAACCATGAAAATGAGGTCAAGGTCAGATGAAACCTACCAGTTGGACATGTACACCTTACAATCATACCATATACCAAATATAGTAGACCTACTGCTTATAGTATCTGATATATGGACATGAACACGAAAACTTAACCTTGTTCACTGATCCATGAAATGAGGTCGAGGTCAAATGAAAACTGTCTGACGGGCATGAAAACCTTACAAGGTACGCACATACCAAATATAGTTATCCTATTACTTATAATAAGAGAGAATTTAACATTCCAAAAAATCTGAACTTTTTTTTCAAGTAGTCACTGAACCATGAAAATGAGGTCAAGGACATTGGACATGTGACTAACGGAAACTTCGTAACATGAGGCATCTATATACAAAGTATGAAGCATCCAGGTCTTCCAACTTCTAAAATATAAAGCTTTTAAGAAGTTAGCCGCCGCCGCCGCCGCCGCCGGATCACTATCCCTATGTCGAGCTTTCTGCGACAAAAGTCGCAGGCTCGACAACAACAACAAAGACAGCAAATTAAGGATATTTGCTCCTCTTGTTTTTTTAATTTTTGCCAGATATTCGGAATCCTCTGGTTTTATCCATGTAGTGCCATTAAAACATTTTTCCCGCAAACCCCTACTTTCTTTTCATATTTTTATTACATATAGTTTAAAAAGATATATTTGAAAATCTTATAAAAGCCTTGTTATTTTTTCATAGTTTTTGAAAGAAAAAAGATGCCAATGTTAGATATATGAAAAATTTAGAGCGAATCACTTCCGGCCAAATTTTCAATGGCTTATATCTTGGAAACAAGCACACAGACCCTTCATTTTTTCTGCTTTTTTAGTTCCTTTATTCATATACTTTCAATTCATAATAGTCTTTTAAAAAGCTTGTCATTTTGAAACAGAGTAGCGAACATCCTTAACAGCAGTGTCATATTTGTCGCCACCAAAAAGAGGATTACAAACATAGTTTCAACAACATTAAGTTAATGCAACTACCCAATGCAGCAAATGAAAAGTTAAAATGACCGATTTATCAATTACAAACGTATGAAGTAACACTATATTCATTAAGATATCGAATAAAAAAAACACCAGCAGTATGCATGAAATGTTAAAGCCTAAATTGCCTTAAAAGCAATTCGAAATTAAATTCACCAAATCATTAACAAAGAATACTTAGGGCCTAACTATGTAAAGTAAAAAGTTACTGAACGATTTTAATAATTTTAAACAGGAGAATAAATAACTTCTTTGCCAACCAGTAGCTTTCTTGCATATTCAGAACGAAAAGAACAATACATGCAGATTGATAAAGTGAATGACATTTGCTACATATAATGGTGGGATTTGAAAATTGGGTGAAGCAGGAGGAATGTAAAATATTATGATTGTAATTAGAAATCAATGTCCTGTTGGGTTTCGTCAAGAATAAATGTTGTTAAAACATATTTTATTTGCAAAACAGAGCAAAAAGGAAAAGAAACAGGTTGATCAAACTTAGAACGTTGTCTTCTGATATATACAGTATATACAATATATCTTATAGTATGCAAATATTTCCCTACAATTTTAAACGTTATAATAATAAAGCATACGAATTTGAGAAAAGGAGGAAAAAGAGAGAAGATCGAATTTAGCCTTGTATCAAATCCGTAACTTCTAAATTCCTATTTTTCGAAATCTTCAACACAAGCAAAAAATGTTACACATCAAAAGTCATGCTTTTGAGTTATATTCATAATCAAACAAGACGAGTGCATTTTATGAATGCCATACAGCAAAAATGACATCATGGTCACATACGTCTCTCAACTCAGGTCGTATACAAAACGTATGTATTTTTCACACTTCTATATCCCAGTTTGCCCATGGAGTCGAGCTAGATAACAAACATTTATTAATATAGTGGAATTTCTAGTAACCACAAAGGCTGCTTAGAGTTTTATTGTATATTTATTGTATTTAAGACTAAGTGACACGTGTACTATATATATAAATTACCCAAAACGTTCCAACGAAATCCCCTTTTCTTTTGACATTGCCATTCCTTTACCGCAGATTAAATTAAATAAATTGATGACCAGACGTGTCTTTCAATGGGATATTTTATCAGGAAAATTTATGAAAGATTTGGGCTATAGCTTAGTGCAGTTAAATCAGGAGACATTTTGGTATTAGTTGTTTATACAACAAAGAATTTAAACGTTTTATAATCATCCATCGGAAGATCTTTCTTTATTTGTTCGGTAATCAGCAAGCAATCAGACCATTTTAAATGGTAGTCTTTTATTTTTAATTGTTTGTCCTGTTGAAAGGCTTTGATGATTAAATTAAAACTATTTTTATAATCGATATTATATGTATCAAGAGATGATTTGTATTAATTAAGGCATGATAAAAGCCCACTGGGTGTGTAAACTTTTCCATTTGATAAATAATATCGACTGCATATACATGTACTGGTAAGTCTTCATATTCTTTATTATTTATATTAAACACAATTTTAACTGAATATGGTAGATAAATGAGTAAAATGTAATTTAATGTAACATAATTTTAATGAGAATATTATTTGTGGTGTCTATTTTGATAATATGATGATTGAATAATATGTCGACATTTTACAGTTGATGACCTTTCATTGTTAATCATACGACGCATCCATTAAATCCTGACAAAATTCGTACACTATACAACATGTTATCTATTATTGTGATTGCAGAAGAAATTGTTTATTATTTTATTTACATCTTTTTAACAAAAGTGGAAATTTCTATGAATACTTATTCAGCTGTCCTAACATCACTGAAGAGACATTAATTGTCGAAATCCAGATATGGTGTACTAATTTTTGCACCTTTTGTTTGCGGTATACCATCTTTTTCCGCAAGTTTATTGTTTTCTGTTTGGTATTAAATTAATAGTTAAGATCCATTTTGTTACATCTGGTGATCCGTTTATTTGGCAATCGCCAAAGGCAGTCAGCAGGGTTTAAGAAAATCAGTTGTTCGACCTGCTTGTCAAATGCGTTTTGTTAAAATATACTTTTTCACTTTTTTGGTCTTTTGGAAAATGTTGTTTGTGCTGTTTTTAGACCCCTCTACCAAGAAATTTGTTTTGCATGCACACGTACTATAGATATGTTTTTATCCAACGCAATTATAGGTTTGAACGTTGTTTTCAATTTAGACTTGTATATATATATCACTATATATATCATTAATGATATTACTAGATATATGATAAAATATATATTAAATAATACCATTCACATTTTATTAACGAGTGTAAATGATCCTGTTTTCTCGCTTTCCACAAATTAGTGTAAAATTTTTATGATTTACAGTAATATCCAGCTCAATTGGATTTAGCTAGTTTTTCAAAATTTTTCTCCCTCAAATTATATCTTTAAGTATAATATAAAATTCAGAAACAATGGTTCCATAATTCTGCGCTTCTTTTTATAAAAAGGGAAGTATGACCCGAACAAAACTCTGCATAGAGTTTGATAGAAGATAAATTATCAAAAACATATGTAACCCTACCACACATTTTGTATGTACCTATCCCTAGTCGGGAGCCTGTATTTCAGTGGTTGACGTTGGTTGCTATCTGTATGTGCCTATCCCTAGTCGGGAGCCTGTATTTCAGTGGTTGACGTTGGTTGTTGTCTGTATGTGCCTATCCCTAGTCGGGAGCCTGTATTTCAGTGGTTGACGTTGGTTGCTGTCTGTATGTGCTTATCCCTAGTCTGGAGCCTGTATTTCAGTGGTTGACGTTGGTTGCTGTCTGTATGTGGTTATCCCTAGTCGGGAGCCTGTATTTCAGTGGTTGATGTTGGTTGCTATCTGTATGTGCCTATCCCTAGTCGGGAGCCTGTATTTCAGTGGTTGATGTTGGTTGCTATCTGCTGTTTTTGTCTTTCGTTTATTGTTTTAGCATGAATGATGCCGTTGGTTTTCTCGTCTGACTTGTTTTACAATATGTTATGCCTGGCCATTTAATAGCTCACTTTACGTTTTTTTTTTCATTGTCGAAGGCCGTATTTCACGTCCTTTGGTCTTTCGTGGATAGTTGTCACAATGGAAATCACTACATCTCATTTATAGTATAATGATTATGTTCCAGTTCATCTGTAGTGTGTGCTTCATATCATGAGCTTCCTAATTTACCTTTAGAGTTCCTTGTTCTGTAGAGCGGACTTTCCCTTCACACATTGTCCTCATCAATATTCTGAAATGTAGTCTCATCCATGACAGTTAGGTCTTTGTCTGGAATATACTCGTCTGAACTCTTTTAATCAATGGCTGGCCCAGGAGATGGCAGACGTGTCAGAAATCTTCGTCTGGTTCTATTTACTGCAAAGAACTAGTGCTGCAGGTTTTATTCTTTGTGCTAGAGTTGCTTTCAATCAACTACACGTATCTATCAAACTAGCAGTAGAAGTAGTTTCCGGCCGTCACCATTCTTTTTTTTTTGTACAGTTAATATAGATAGTTCCGTGTTGGGATAATCTATTATGGTATATATAATGCAGTTATATTAGCCTCAGAGATTTCATTCTCTCATCTATGTGCAACATTATATTTGTCAGCCATCATTTGCAACCATCTTCATTGATACACGGTCTTCCTCTAAACTCTGGCAACTTTGCTGTTCAAATCATAACCAGCTTTCGGTTTCATCCTTGTTCTCCCATTCCAATTGCTAAACGTTGTCTAACTTTATAAACATACTTAGATTTGGGCTGCTGTTTGACTTTGACTGCAGATCAAGTCCAAAAACTAATGTTATTTTGGGCTCTCTGTCAAACATAGAAAAAAAGTATGGAGATTGTCTAGTTCCGTCATGCTTGTGATTTCATAATGCGATATGTGCTTCCACTTTTTTCTAATATGGGTTTAGAGTCCTGAACAATCCTTACAGTGTTCCGTTGAATCATTCTGTCATCCCTTATCCTATATAGGGATAAGGATCTTCCGGGGTTTCTGACATAGCACCTTGATCATATAAATTAGAATTAGGATATGTGAGTATAGTCAGTTGGGAAATCAAAATGAACCACAAAGCTGTTGTTCTAGTGGGTTGGTTTCTTGTAGGCATTATATGAACAAGTAAATGGTATGGTATCGCACAATGTGCTGTGTTTCACTCGAACATCCAATCATGCTTATTCGATTGGTTTAAGAAAAGTTGAGGATACAACTACATAGCGTAATAAAACTGTTTAGCTTTATATTAGCCTGAAATATTCATTATTATGGTATTATCGGGACTGTTGAAATTGTGTCAATGTACCTCTTCCCACTCAAAGACATTTGTTTTAATCTTAACTTATCTTCACTGCACTTTACTAACATCTTAACCATCTTTGAGAGAATTATAGCTAACTGTTGATGGTTATAAGACTGTGTGAAAATGATTATTTTATATGTTGACTTTCTTCGTATTTTGTGATAATTCAACTTGGTTTGGTTTGTTTTTTATGAGATAACTACATGTATATTTTGATGATGCAGTCTGGCAACCATATAGGAAATAAGCTTTGTTTTGTTTTGATTGTCCTATCAACAGCAATTATGAAACAATATCATCAACTACAAAGTAGCCAACACAGGAACTGTTTTGTATCATGAAAGAAATGCAATTATCAATTTACAGTGACTACATTCCCCAAAGTGTTTCGTGTAGTGCTAGATGGAATTCATAAATTGTCCAATAACATCAATTTTAAACAAACAGTTACATAACAAGTGGTGTAACGTGTTGTAAAGTCAAACACCTGTACTCCAATAGATCCGTTAAATAATCAATAGATGAGATATAAGAACAGCTTATTTGGGTGTTAAGGTAAACATTTTATATACATAAGCATACACAATTTATATGAAGATGATATCAATCTATCTAGCCCGCACTTTGGTAAGATATTTTATATCAAAAACAAATACATTTTTACTTTAAAAACTGCATGACTCAATATAGTAAATTTCTCACCTCTCCTTTGAAGTTTCTAATATAAAATATGCTACACAATTACTTTTTCATTCGACCACAAGAGCAGACGGTTTATACAAGATGAATTGTGTCTCCGTTTTCTTTTACCTGTGTCTATGTTATCCTATTGGTGTGCAAAATGCACTGACAAAAACTCAAATCGACGGAAGTGTCATATTAGAAATTTGAATATGCTAAAAGAATTAAATATGACTAAAACCGAATAAGACAAACATGAGATTGTGGAACATATAATACTGCAAAATCAAAAAATGGCAACGACAATAGCTTAAAGAAAAGATCAACAAATAGAAAACCAAAAACGTTTCCTAGCCGCCCGTTTTTAGTCAACTAGGTTCAATGCAGAGTTTTAGTAACAATAAAAATTTGTTTCTTAAGAAATACCACAAGAATATTCGTTCTGTCTAAGGTTGATACACATTAACTATAAGTATCATCTAAAGGTGGAATCTCTGTGATTGGATCTCATGCGATTCAAATCTTTGTGTGTTTGTTCTTAGAATTATATTTGAACTGACATCCGTTTAAATTATTGAGATGTGATATCATTGGCAATCAGACAACTATCAACCAACTTTAAAAGGTCACCGTTCGGCTTATATCAATGATAAAACCCCATACCGTTTAGCCAGCTACAAAGGGCTTAGACACGACAAAATGCGAAATAATTCAAACAAGAAAACTAACGATCTGATCTACTAGTATGACAAAACAATTAACAAAAACAAATACATGTATGACAGACAGCAGTCAACGACAACCACTGAACTACAGTCTCCTGATTTTGGACAGGCACATACACAATGTGGCAGGGTAAAACATGCATGTTTGTGACTTTATATGAAGATTGTATTTTTTTGCAAACTTCTAGAATCCAACTTATTTTACTGAGCTTTTAATGAATGTGCTGCGACGACTTTAATGACTATTCCGTATACCTTAGTCTTCATCTGGAAATTGAAGATGGAGAAAGCGTGTTACCGCATTACTATGATGGTTCATCTGTCTTATTGTGATAACAATGTTGTTACGTTGTATAGTAAACAAATGAAACAATAGAAAATAAAGAGGATAGATAAATAAATGATACTAAACAATCAAAAGTATATATATAGAGAGACAATTGTGCCGTTGCCAGGCAAGGCCTGAAATGGTTTTAGTTTAGAACTTTCCAACAGTGGTATGTATCACGAACAGCCAGTTCCGTTGAATGAATACTAACTTTTAATGTACATGTATATAGTTTGTTAAATTTAAATTGACAATTTTATGTTATTATATATGGTTTTAAAAAAATTTCACATGGCACGATTTTAGTTTACACATAACCATAATGTAAAAATGACATATAAGCCAATTTATTTGCTCAAAATTCCTTTTACTCATAAATGTTCAATTGTATTCAATCTTGTTAATACAACATTGAAATATGTATTCATTGTTC